ACGTTAAACTTATTATTAAAAGCAATAATAATAAAATAGTATTTTCCAATTTCTTCAATATTAGGTTTCACTTTTGATGACACTGCAAACAGTTTTGTGAACTCACATGATTTTATACCTTTTTAATTTGTTATTTTTTTGTCGCAGGCAGCATCTACAGCAATCAAGCCTCTGACATTGTTGCAGAATCTCACCAAACATTTAGGATTTTGAACAGTCATTTTATAAGAAAATAATATTATCATCTTCTCAAGTGTCTAACTGGTCAGGCTTCTCAACTGCCTAAAAACTCTTGTTTCTTCTTTTATATGAGGGGTTAGAATGGAAATTTCTCTCCTTTCACTTAGTTGATGTTGAAATCTGTAATATTTTCAACTTAAACATGAACAAATTATTGAGGATAAACCTATATTGTCATAACAACCTGTCGTGTTTTAGATGTTGTTGTTGCTGGTCTATGTATGCAATGCATTTTTACTTTTGGTCATAATTGGTAAATGAACTGTACTTATGTAGCACCTTTGTCCCCAATCATGATACTCAAAGTGCTTTACACACTACAATATGTGCCCTCCTTTACCCATTCATACAACGATATTTCTGCTATGAGTCCTGGTCTATGTACAATACTACATGTACAAATGAGTAATCAGGGAACTGATGGAACACACATCAGGGGCGGAGGATGTTCAGTGATTTACCCAGGGACACATGTGACTGAACAGCGGGGAAATTAACTGTCAACTCTATCATATTGTTTTCATTTGTTTTAACTAGTTTCATATGAGTGCAATATCCATAACATTTCATATCATATATTTGACAGGTTTATGTATTATTAGAAAATTATTTGGGAATTTCTGGACACCTTTAGAAACTTAATGAAACAATTAGTTTTGAGTTTGAATAAGAATTTTTTTTCCTTTCATCCATACTTTTTAAAATTAAATACAAACACATTTTCAAGCATTTTTATGTGTTTAGATATTTGGTTTTACTAACTTTTCTGTGTGTTTTGCATTTTTCGGGTAGTGCTAAAGCCTAATTGTGATCTGTTTGTACAGTATGTTCATGGATTTAGCCAGAATGGATTTATTTTCTTTTCCTTGTGGTTGAGGTTATGACTGGTCTGGTTTTAAACTGTTTTTATTTTTTTGGAGCGATTTGATCATATGTTTTGTCAGCACTATAAACAGGTAGAGTGAGAGATTAAAAACTGGGCCAGCAGTCATGTATTATTTTCCCCTTATACTCATCAATATTTGCTCTTATAATTCACCTCTCATAAAAGTTAGTAATATTTACCGTGATAAATGTCCTGCAGCTGTTCACTGCAGTGAATCAGCTTGTGCCTCTGTCTGTGGTGCTGAAACTAACTCCCTGTCATTGTTTATAAGCAACATTGCTCCTTGTTTGTCTCATAAAACTTTAATAATTTTACACATATTTGTATAGTAAAACAAATTCATTTTAAGTTTATATTTCACTGTAAGCATCTGCATTTTATTTAGTTGTTTTTTTATTTTTTTTGCTTTTGTGATCTACCAGGAAAATTAGATTGTTTTAAGTGAAATGTTTTGTGTGTTTGAGTTACAA